GGAGCTGCTGATTTCCCTTATAAGCCTTCTTTTGTCTTATTAGCCTATGTTCTTTTGTAAGCTTAAACTTCTTATAAATAGGAGTAGTTTCTTAGCCAAAATACATACTTAACCTTTGGGTTTTATAATTTCTCTAGTCCGGTTACTGTTTTTGTCAGTTTTGTGGGACCGGGACCGGTTAAGGCCCGGCCCGACCCATTTTTTCAAAAAAATATAGCCAGGTATACTCTATATAGCCGTTATAGGGCCATTATTTTTTGTTGTTTTTGGTTTTAAAACACTATAAGTATGTAGTTTTGGTTGAGAATTTAACATACCAACTTCTCAATTCTTCAAAAACGCAATAAACGTTCACAATTCTTTGGTTTCTCGCTATATTTTGTGAATTCGACTCGTATTAATTTCTCGTTTCCACTTCACAATTCGCATTTCTTTCTCTCTTTGTGTTACAAAATGGCAGGTGAACAACATGATGCATCAAACGAACAAGTTGTCCAAGTTCTCGCCGAACACGAATGAAAGTCCGAGATTTGGAATTACTACAACTTGGTGGTTCTTGCGAACAGAAAAAGAAAGGCACAATGCAAATTGTGTCAAGCTCTCCTTACGGCCGAAAGAAATTCTACCTTAAAGAGGAACACCGAAAAACGTGCTCGGGGTCGAGGTCGGGGAGCGATTCAAGCCAACCGATACTTCACACTCAAGATCAAATATGGTCGTATGATGCCAAGTTGAACCGATAAATGACAACACAATGTGTCATTCAAGTCGGGTTGCCTTTCCGACATTTCGACAACTCTCATGTTACGAAGTTGATTCAAAAGACGCTACAACCATGATACAAGCCGGTAAGTCGTCAAACTCTTAGACGCGATGCAATAAAAATGTGGAAAATGTGTCAGGCCGAAATGCAACAAATGTTTTCCGTTTTGCCTAACAATATTTCTTTAACATGTGATGTATGGAGCGCACCATACGGATTGCCGATTTCGTATATATGTATAACGGCACATTGGGTTTAGCCTACATCATGACATTTATTCAAATGTGTAATCGCATTTGAACTGTTTGGTGCGCCACATTTGGGTGCACGTCAATTTTCATTTATTAATAAATGTCTTGCATTTTATAATTTAACTTTTAAATAATTAGTATTTCATTTTATAACGCTAGTAAAAACAATGCTTGTGTGGAAAAATTAAAGTGTCATTTAACACCTATATTAGACGGTAAATTATTTCATACACGTTGTTGTGCAACATAATAAATTTAGCCGTTCAAGATGGTTTAAATACTTGTAAACCCGTAATAGATAAATTTAGACTTATGTTGCAGTGAATTTCCACAAAAGGTAAAAAAATGAATGCGAAATATAGAAAATATTGTGAAGACGTTGGTTGTAGAGCTTTGGGACCGAGGTTCGATATGTCCGTTTGTTGGAATTCGACTTATTTTATAATTGAAATTTTGATAAAACAAAAAATTATATTTTTGCTTTTTATAGACACCATTACCCGCAAAATTCTATTGGAAATCTTGATTGGGCCGTACTTGAAGGATTGTACATATATTAGACGATTTTAAAAATGTGACAACACTTCTATCTAGTATTTATTATCCAACAAGCCCTTTTGTTTTAAACCAAATCTATATTTTTGGCAAGTAAGATTGTCCAATACGAAGACCATTACGATTGGGGAAGATTGATGTCTTCAATGAAAAAGAAATTGTTTAAATATTTTATGAGCATCCCAAATCTTTTCTTTGTGTTGCGGCGTTAAACCCGTATTTAAATATTATCGGTGTTGAAATTTTAATTACACAAATATGTGTGACTTTTGGTTTAGATACCGCTACGGATAATTCTTTTTTCAATGGAACAAAAACGTTTATTTAATCGTAATTTTCAAGATTTATTTGATCATTACAAATATTTTTACGGAGGAGGAAACCAACGACAAAGCTCTTCAAGTCGTGGGTTTGCGGGTTCTAGTTCTTCTTCTAGTGGTCATCGACAAAATCGTAAAGAGTTAATGACTAATTTAATGAACGAGGTTTTAAATGAATCAAGTAAAAAAATCGATATGATAACGATTTGGGTGAACTAAATATGTATATGCATACTAACTTTATGGTCGCATGCTCCGCAAATGATGTCGAAGATTTTGAAAAAAAATTGATTTATTAAATTTTTGGAAACAAAAACAACCTCAATTCCCGATTTTGGCGTGCATCGCACGTGATATACTAACAATCCAAGCTAGTACCATAGCTTCGGAGTTTGTTTTTTCTCTTAGTGTCATGATCATTTCCATACGTTAGACAAGACTAAGCCCGGAGTCCGTGGAGTGCTGTATCTGCTTGAAGGATTATTTGGATAGCGTTGATAAGGATTCAACACACGACATCTTTAGAGATGGAGATTGAAGCGGTGGAAGAAAAATCTGAAAGAAAATGAAATCACCATGGGACTAAGCACGCCGCTAACTACCGATATCGACGACACTTACTCACAATATGACGATGATGAGGAACTCGACATTGATAACCTTGACCAAGAGGCTATTAGAAGAATTCAAGAGAACAGAACTCTTCAAATCAATCTCACATGGGATACCGATGAAATATGAATAAATGTATTTTCAAATAATTTTATAATAATTTTTTGTAAAACAATGTAATTTTAATTATAATAAAACGTATTTTTAAAGTGTATTTGAGTGATCCGTACGACAAATTTAATAACATATTAAAATATATATATCATTTACAAAAATAAAATAAAAAATTATGGATGGGACCAGGACCGGTATCCCCATAACCGGTTACACTTAACCTTGACCGGTCATCACATTCTCGACGGGGACTGGGACCAGTTACGATAGGACCGGTTACCACCGGTTACAAGGTAGATCAGGCTCGATTGGGACTAGCCCGAGACCGATTTTTGGCAATCACTACATTATAGATGTTTTAGGACGGTTCCTTTTGGGCCTTTTCCTTCTGTTTAATTCTAGTCCACTATCAGATTAATAAAAAGTGGTCCAACAACAATTAAGTTCTTCGATTTAATAACTTGGGTTGGGTTCACGTGAGACCAAGCTGTTTTCGTGAGACCCATGAGACCACATTTTTACACTTGAAACTTCACAGCAAAAACACTGTGAAGGTTTAAAAAGCCGAACCTTCACAGCAAAAACACTGTGAAGGCTACCTTCACATCATTTTGCTGTGAAGTTTCAAGTATAAAAAGTTGGTCTCACGGGTCTCACGAAAACAGGTTGGTCTCACGTTATCCCAAGTCTAATAACTTAGTTGGGTAATTAAGTTTTTGAGCCTAACTAATTAATAATTTCAGATTTCATTTTATTATATCATATACGTTAGTTATATTAGTTGATTAATTTAATTTCCAAATTTATTAGTATGTTATTTAATTAATAGTATTAATTTATTTTAGAAAATTAATATTAATTAATTAATCTTTTTCTAAGTGGCTTATTAAATTATTTAGTAATTCAATAAGCATTTTAAAGGTGTTGTAATTTGGAATTAGTAACTGTTTAGGACACCTTAATGGGGGACATATGATTTTTATAGTTATTAAATAGATAAACTGACGTTAACAGTCGTTATCAAGCGTAGCATTTAGAGGTTTATTAAATCATTTTGATAATTTAATAACGAGATTAAAGCGTCATGATCGAGTTAAGCAATCATTGGGACGCTTTATATTGGAAGGGTGAACTTATAAAATTATAAAATGATTAATTTGACATTTTTAGGCGTCATCGAGTTTTAGAGTTTTGGGGTTTCACTAAAGTTAACCGAGGTTTACTTTTATCTCGTTTGACCCACAAGGATTTAATGATGAGATCTAATGGAGATATTTGAGATATTAAAGATACTCGATTGACTTTAGATTGGGTTGGGTTTGACCATAGTTTCTATTGTTGTTTTTTGAAGAAATTAAACCATTACTTGGATATTATGATATGAGTCTTTGGTCAAGAGCTATCAGTAGTCGATTTACATGGATAAATGAATCTTCATAAGACATACAATGGGATGCATACATATGTACAAATCTATTTTTGAGCATGATATGATTCGTATGGTGATATGTACGTGTACATGATGTTTCAGTTGCATACATGATCTAGTATATATTACATGTATGCTATTTTTTATCAGTTGCATGCTATGTGTTTTTTGTTTTCAAATAACTCTAGCATGCTATTTTATGTCAAAAGTTTTATGATCAATTGTAATGGGTGGACATTGACCAATAAATCATACAACAATTGGCACAATCTGTGATGGGTGCTTAAACATGTGCAGGTCGAACAACCCAGACAATGCTAGTGACAAAATGACCCATGCTCGACTTAGGCAGTTCGTGAGATCTTTGTTCTTTCACTGTTACATGTTTTCAGAAAATGTATACAATTTGGTTTAGAGCTTACATGTTGATATGTATGATGCGAAATGATTTTATTCACGCAAACCATGAACTCACTAGGTTTTATAAGTTGACTAGTATGCATCTTAAGGACAAAAGATTCAAGTTAGAAAGAAAAATAGACTTGTCATGTCCATTTAAGTTCAATATTTATTTTTAGACATCTATGATTAGTATTCAAGTTAAATATTTAAATTCTATTATGTAAACTGATATGCGATGAATAGTATTCAAGTTAAATATTTATTGTAAACGATTTATAATTTAGCCGTTATTTAGGATATTTATAGGAAAGTTGTTGATGATGATGTTGCATTTCTCATGGTGAAAAGAGGAGGTTACAAGTTGATATCATAGTCATACTTCAAGAGAAATAAGTTATGATCTTTGGTCTAAGCTAATACATATTAGATGCAACGTACCACATCATAAGTACAGTATAACATTATACGATGCAGTAAGTTTAAGTGTAGTCGTACTTGATCCAATTACCTTATCTTAGAGGTGATTAGTGTTATTGCTAAGAATACGCATAGGATACTCAAGAAGTAAAGCTCACGTAAAGTATGGCAGAACAAATAGTATGGGCTTAGGCCCGAAAGTAGGACATGTAAGTGTATTTGCAAATTTGATTTTAATAGCACCAGTAGTACTAGTTAGATCTTGAGTTTGGTGCACAAGATCTATCTACATGCATATGAAGCGTAGGAACGGAAGTTAATACTTTGCTTTGCAACAATGAGATAAAGTAAATAGGATTCTAATCAAGCTGATTCTTCTCCAAAGGTTTGCTTTGATTCAGTTGCGTTATAAGTCCAAAGTTCTTTCATCTCGCCTCTCACTACACCCAGTACGATACAAGTTCCTGCAAATAACATGGAAAACGGAAGTTTAAACAATAATCTCTTTCAAACGAAACTAAACGAACCCGGTATATCTTACTCTAAAAGAGGGGATGTATGCTCTACCCTGAAGGATATTGTGATTGTTTTGCCAAGAACCTGGCTTGTGCAAAAAGGGAAGAAAATACTCCCTCCCTCTATCCCAAGAACTCACATTTTTTAGTTCTAGTTTGTCCAAAATAAGTGTTCACTTTCAAAAGCAAGTGCCTACTTTTCAATTCTACCCTTAAATCTTAATTATGAAATGGAGAAATTCGTTACTATTATTAAGGGTAAAATTGTCAAATTTGTTGATTAAATATAGTGTTAATAATTACACATTTCTATGCGTACATTTTTCATTGTGAAGATTTACTTTAGGATGGAGGTAGTAAATAGTAAGCAGCAGAAAAACAAAAGAAAAAACAAAAGGTAACTGATATACCTAACGTACAAGGAACAAGATAGAGCAGAGCAGGTTGGCCATGCCCATCCATCAAGTACAATCCCAAGTATGTTAACAAGAGGCCTGCATAAAAGAGACATTTTTTATGAAAACTATTTATACAGCTTCAATTGTACAGAAAACATATTTAATGATAAAATCAAACCAAATGAAACGAGCCCAATATATCCCTCCCAATACTGGGATCTGAGGGTATTGGTGTACACTGACGGCAACCCCAAATGGTAGAGTGATTAATTCTATGAGACCAAAATAATGTTCTTTTGCCTATGCAGGTGGTCGAGTAGCATGGTGTCTATAGCAAGGACAAGTCTCTGATGCAAAAGGTCATGGCAACGTGTCCCTCATAAAACAAGGGATACAAGGAAGGTACAAAGGAAAATACGCAGATGCAACCATGGGGAAAGGAGATACCCCCAATTTTAAGTAGGTGAATGTTCCCATAAGACACAAGGACGTTAATTTGTTATCCAATTCATACTTACTAGGCAACGCGATAAGCATTCTCCATTGAAGGTCTAGATATTATGTAGAACTAAGCAACGACACCGCACTTGTCACGATGGATATAAAAAAAGCAAGGGGCCGTTTACCTAAACACTTACCCGATAAGCGCTTAACAGTAAAATTCAACGCTATCGCTTACTTACCGGGTAAGATTTAAATCTACCAAAAAACGACACTGTATGTAACAATTTACCCGGCAAACGCTAACTGTAGTAAGAGTCGTCGTCATTACTTACCGGGTAAGACTTTCGGTCCTTGCCTTCGCTTTACTAGGTAAGATTCTTGGTCCTTGCCGTATTCATCCGGTAAGGTAATGTGACTTGGTAAGCACTTACCCGAGTAAGCATTTGCAGAAAATCAAGCTAGGATATCATATAATCTGTAAGCTGATTCTTAGCAATCAGTTACATAATTAGTGATTCTCTTTTATTAGATAAAATTTGTAGTATATTTTATTATAGAAGTCGTTACAGATTTGCTTGCATATAAAATATGTTGTACATTGTATTCAAGTTGGAATAGAAGCTTTTCTTAGACATCTCAAACAACTTCATGGTATCAGAGTTGTAGGATAGAGATCCTATTTTCTCTCAAGTCATCGTCTTCTTTAATCTGCTCATCCTATCTCTCAAAATCTCTCTTCATGGGGGAATCAGATCTCTTATCCACGGATTTGTCCACTTCCATTCCCAAGACTCCTTCAACATCTTGTCTTGGCTAAACTACTTGAGAGAAAAAAAAAATATGTTCAAAGCTCCAATAACGCTACACTTCATTCCACAAAATCCTCCTCGCCTTGGATTGTTGACTCAGGTGCATCCAACCACATGACAGTGACCAATCACCTTTCTCAACTTATTCTCCTTGTACCAGCCTTCAAACCGTACATATTGCTAATAGTACACATACCAAAGTGGCTGGAACAGGAACCATTGAACACTCAAATCACTGTTATTTGTGCCAGAACTTGAGTGTAATATCATATCAGTCAACAAACTGAATCGTGACTTAAATTGTGCAACTAAATTCCTTCCTAATTCTTGTATATTGCAGGACTGGACTTGGTCAAGGAAGACGATGGCAATGCTGACGTGCTGCAGGTCTTGATGTCCTGGATGTCGATACTCCTTCAACTCATTTCGTCGGTCATCATAATTCGTTATGTCATAGTTTTAAGTCTTCTAGTCAATCTAATAAAGACAGTGAAATCATGATGTGGCACTTTCGTATAGGTCATCCCAATTTTTCATATTTGAAATGAATGGGTCCCATCTCTCTTCATAAATAAAAATCCCAAATTATTTCAATATGAGGTTTGTCAAATGGCCAAGCATACTCGTAATACATACTCACCACGATCATACAAACCAAGTCACCCTTCCTCCCTTGTCCATGGTGACATTTGGGGGCAATCCATATTCCAAGCATAGCCGGTGCTAGATGGGTTTTATTATTAGTTGATGACCATGCTATTGATTTTACATGTAATCATTTAAAGATAAATCAAAAGTAGAAGAAAAAAGATAACCATGGCTGAAGCCGTCTCATCAAATCTAGTTATAGCCTTCTTATATATATATATTGATGATTACCTTCAGAAATTGTCTATCAAGTAGTATTCTATATTAATCATGAAGTACTTTTGAGGCATCATAGTAGTAAAAGCTAGAAAATTCCTTAGACTATAATGCTTTGCCAACTCCAATGTAGTAGAAGCTAGAAAATTCCTCAGACTATAATGCTTTGCCAACTCTAGTAACAAGGACGAACTCCTCCCTTATCAATCATCTAAGCAATGTATCAAAGAAGGCTCACAGGAACTCCAAGTAATGCAAGTTCATTTTATTTCAAATATGATTTGCTCATCTTATTCAAGATCACAGTCAAGTAAATTAGTATTATTAGCATCTCAAGAACCCAGGTGAGGTGTTTCAAGACCACAGGTCGGTTAGTCAAAATATAACCCCATGATACTAAGGTCCACCAAAATGAAACTAGGGGTTTATAAGGCATAAAATCTCTTTCTTTGAAAGAATAGAATATATGTATGCTTATGTATTGTGCATATGCATACATATATATATATATATATATATACAATATATGCATATGTCGTGACAGGTCCTATTAGGAACCTAAAATTGATTAGGAACCTGGGAACCGCCCACAGCGTGATACACGACATATTGATCAGGAACATGGATGTGTTATTCATCATTATGTTTTAGAATATTCATCATGAGTTTGTGATTCATGATGAATAACATGTCCATAACGCATCCATATTCATCATGAATGTGCAATTCATGAGTAACACTTCCATATTCATCATGAACGTGTTATTTATGATGAATCTTTATCTTGAAGATGGAAAAGGAGCGTTGGGGGCGGTTCCCGGGTTCCTAATCAATTTTAGGTTCCTAAAATAGCTTTCCTCAACATATGTATATTACATACGCAAGACGGGTTTGGTTCCGGTGAGAATGAAAGTTATGGTGAGAAAGGTACGAAGGGATCTCCACCCTTGGTTCAATCCTAATTGAAGAGAACCACTAGATCAACACTAATGAGATACACCGGATCAATTCTCTTCTAAAGCGCCATTCATGGGTTGTTTTGGGATTAAAAGTGATCAAGGGTCCAAATCCTTTCTTACACTTCTCATCTTAGCTCGAATTCTAATACGATCCTTCGTCTACTTGGGACATATCTATCTATAAATACATGTGTTTGATATATGTTTGCATATATATACATGACGTACTTATGTATTATATATGTACGTAGTTATGCATTTATATATG